ATCCCGTTTAGTCACTCAAACTTTTCTGTCACCCTAGTACTTTTTTCCTACTTGTATTTGAAGAAAGTATAGTTTGGAAGGTGTGGACTGGAACTTAGGTAGTAGGCCAGATGTTGGAGTCACAAATAGGACACTTTTTGAAAACTTAAACTTGGAAGAAAATGTGACATTGAGTCACATTTTGCCATAGCCTGGTATGCCAAGCCTAGTTTCTGGGATCTTTGAAGCTTTTGGCAACCCTTGGGCATGCTCATTCATTGTATCACTAAGCAAATATGAATTGTGTGCTTACCATTGGGAAGTATTAAACCTTAAGTCAAAGGGGAGATGAGTCACACATAAGAAACAAAACTAAAAACTGGATCGCCAGTAGTGACCATGTTTATTCTGCCATGCATGTGCTTCCGAAGCTTTAAACCCTGCTGCTGTTGCCATCATCACCCTGAGAACAAAAGGCAGCTGTCCAAGGTCATAAGCTAATATATGGTAGAGCCTGCAGAGCCCTCACGCTAACCCCATGCTCCTCTGCAGCCCATGTAGTGCTGGTTTAAAATTGAATCTTACGGATAGAAATTTGAAAAGCATGGCTTGGCAATACATCTATCTGAAGATGAACTGAGTATGAAGGAGGGTGTCACAGAGTGGGACAGGATGCAAAGACATCTGAGGGAGAAGAGAGGTGGCACTAGACAGGAGAGAAGGGGATCTGGAGAGTACAGCATCAGCAACCAAGAGGGTGGATATTTGCATAGACAGTGATGTCCTTGTGGTCAGATCAGCCCAGGTAAGAACTAAGAAGTAGTTTTGCTTTGTCCCTTGGGCTGTTATTAGGGATGTTCCAGGAAAGCTTTTGGAGGATAACAAAAACAGAAGCCAAATTGCCTTAGGTTGTGTGTTAGTCAGTGTAAAACTACAATGGATCATCAGGCAAAGACAGTGTGGGTCAAGCAGGAGCAACAGTAAGAGTGGGAAGGTCTGTGGAATAGTGAGCATTGAGGGATTTTTTTTTTTAATTTTCCAGGAGGGGTGGGAAGCACTGAAATGTGTGTGTGTGTGTGTGTGTGTGTGTGTGTGTGTCTGAGAGAGAGACAAATAGAGAGAGAGAGAGAGAAAGAGAGAGAGAGTCCTGCTTTTTAAATGTTAGTTCATTTTTTAAAAGTAAAAGAACTGAAGAACTTCAGTTAAGAACTGAAGTTAACATAATCTGTAGGTTAAATTTATCATCTCTGGAGTCCTTCCAGAAGTTTCAAAGCCAAATGCTGAAGCATCACGATCCATTTAGGATCATTCGTGCAGCAGGCATACCTGTTTACATGCCCGTGGTTACTTTTTCTTACTTAATTGGGATGGGTAAGTATGAACTCACAATAAAAGAAAATCCCATAAATAAAGAACTGATGCTCAAAAGGGAAGATATTTGCAGACCAAAGCAAGGTGTGTGGGGGCATGGGAGGAGCTAGATTAAGAGTTCAGTGGTTAGAAATGTCAGTTGTAACCAGGCTGGAATAATGGAAAAGTAAAGACTAAGAAACCAAGAGATCCTTTCTCCTCCTTTTTCCATGTGGTTGGCAATCCTGGGAGTTGACGAGAAACCCAGAAAAATATGGTGTCTGCTTTGGAGGATAGCAGGTGACAGGAAGATGAGGCTCTTTAGACTGTAGCAGCTGTGAGGGGCAGTTGACCCTATCTGTTTCTTTTGGAAGGACAGACATACTCTTACTCTGTAGCCCAGGGTGCTGGAACTATGTAACCTAGGCTGCCATTGAACTAGTGGCAATCCTCCAGACCCAGCCTTCTGAATTAACGTGCTCAGCCGGTGAGTCTCTGTAATGGGCCAGAACATGCTGTCTCTGGTCACTTATCTGTCTACACCAAGTATTTAGCTTTTCCCTGACTTGATGATGGCTGGTTCCCATATTTCATTCATTCATTCATTTGTTACCATTGTGGCATTGTTGCTATCCCTCTGACTTACCTGTACTGTTATTTATTAAAAAAATGTTCTGACAGTTACATATATATTTTATTACATGTATGTATGTATATATATGTGTGTGTGTGTGTGTGTGTGTGTGTGTTTAAGTTACATATGCATTTTTACATGTATATGAAAATAATGCTACAAATCATACTTCCACTACCCTCCCAACTATGCATTTAAAAAATATAGTAAGTCCTTAACATTTCTATTGAGGGTTCCTCTCCACTCCACTTAGAATAAACCTGTCTTCCGTTCCCAGGACACACTGTCTAATTCCACTGGGTAGTTCTTCGGGTCCCACAGTGCAGGGATTTCTTCCACATTAAGAAAGTAGACTATGGTCTTGCTTTTTATTCAAGTGGATCGGCCTAGATGGCCTGATCTGAATAAAATGGATAAAGGCAGGCACCTCTTTGTCTGACAATTTGAAAGTGATGCTATTTGAATACCAAGAAGCTTGAGGCTTGACTGCGGAGCCTCCAAATTAATCTAGTCTTGTGGGAAAAAAAAAGAAAGAAAGAAAGAAAATGCCATCAAGTAACAGGAGATTTGTCAGCTGCCCTGCTTACACTTTTCATATAAAACAGAAAGGTTGGCAGATTATAGATGAAAGGTCAGCTCAGCAAAAAAGAAAATCTGTCAGACAATCTCATAACACAGGTAACCCAGGGCGGAACTTGGAAACTGCTATTGGATTCTCTGAGTGAGATGAGTTTGTTGGCGTCGTGTAAATATCATCACCGCTCCTTCGGCTGTTCATTTTGGTGCCTCCTCTAGCAGAGTCTCTGAAATCTGATTTAGAAGAGGCCGAAGATGCTTGCTTTCCCGGCAACGTTTTTTTACTTCATAGAAGTTTCACCTTTTATTTTTTGTTTGTTTTCAACAGTTGAAGCAGGGGTGTGATGAGGGCAGTACTTCTTTTGACTGATGCCTTACTTTCTATCGTCCTGAACCAAAGATCTAAAACAAGGGCATAGTGAAAATCCAACACCTCTTGTGAAAGTGATGGTGACTACCAAATGAGTTTCCAGTGAGCCCATCATCACCAACAGAGGAGATAGAGAGCCACAGTGTGGACTGAACCAGTGGCTGAGTCCCCAACTCTGGCAGGACCTGCCTGGGACAGATGGATGCTCACGAAAACATTTTTAGCCTGTTCTGACTTGAAGAACTTAGGAGAATCTGTGGGTGCATTATCTAACCACAGAGCTGTGATAGCAGAGTTGTGGGGCCTCATAATTTCAGTACAGGCAGTGCTGGGAATTTGAGGCCTTGTTAATCCGTCTTTCATCTGCACTTCAAGTGCAGGGATCGAGCAAAATAGCAGCACCATTCTCAGGAGTTTGCAACACACATCACCCTCCTAATTGCCCGACTTGCATAAACATGCCTCTGAGAGCGGCTTCCCACTTCGGCTGCACTCTTCTGTACAGCCCTGCAAATAACTGAGGCCAGAGGTGTGTCACATAGCAGTGTGGGTGGGTCATCAGGTGTCCCTTGACTCCTGGCCTCCGTCATTTTCTTCCCTTGAGCCTCCCCACTACAGCACGTGCCATGCATGTGATTCCATCACCCGTAGACACTGCAAACCAAGAGCTGAAGAAAAACGTTTCATGTTATAAAACGTCACCACTGTCTTAGAAAAACAAAACAAAACAAAACACTGTGTTAGCAGCTGCCTGTGCTACTGACTGTTGGCATGGCAAGGCCTCTACAGTGCAGTCTTTACAGATTACTCTGCCAAAGTCCAAGTACCAATGGCAGAAGTCACTACCACTCCCAAGAAAAAGTCTCTCCCACTAAGCTTCCATAATTCAATTATCAACTCTGTCTTGCTGGTAAGGATCAATTCTTACAAGAGTACTTTCTCTATTTCCTACTCAGGGTAACCTTAATTCTTCCCAGAATAGCAGGCAACTTAATTTTGCATCGGACCCAGGAGTCAAGGTGGAAATATATGTGCCACTGTCCCACCCTTTTTTCCACTCCAAAATAAAATAAAATGAGCAATAGCCCAATGGCTAGTTTTGAGGAATGGGTAGAGGCAGAGCAGCAAAAAGGCATTAATCTCAGGATGGGGATGGCTGCTCGGTTCTATCTCCCCTTGGAATTTTGGTTCTTATAGCATCACCGTGAGTTATTAATATGTATGACCTGTACTTTATTCAAACATTATAAATCTATGCAGAAGTCTGGTGTTTGGGTTTTCCTTTATAGCTTTCATTCTTCTTCCCAGAATTATCTCATTTCGTCGGGAAACTTTTGCATAAAAAGCGCACACCAAGAACTCACATTTCCATAGCATAAATATTAAAAGGGGGTTAAGCTTTACAGTTTCCTCTCCCATCCCAATGGGAGGAAAGTTGCCCTTCCAATCATGGGCCCTTAATAATGTTCTGTTTACTCAGAAGCCAAAAGGTAAATGTAAAATTAGACTTGCAATCTAACATTGCAGGTTCCTTAAGATGCACTGTAGATTGCCTAGATGTGCCACATCTTTTGTTTGAAGGATGTACTAAAATGCATAACAGCATTTATGCATGCTGTTAAAAAATACTTGGTTGTCTTATTTTCTTATATTTTTAGTTGTGAGCCTAGCCTTTAATGGCTGAGCCATCTCTCCAGCCCGGTTGTGTTATTTTTCTGAGAACCAGACTGAGTCCAAGCCTTCCTTCTCTTTATCATGGTGAATCTTAAGAAAAAAAAAACAATAACTGGATAATTGTTTGTATAGATTCATCACGGTGGATCTGTAAAATCTAGAGAGAAATGGAGCTGGGAAGTTGACGCTTTCTTAGTGGCTATTTCTCTCCTTATAGCTTCCTAGTTCTGGTTTATTGTCATTTTGGTAGCATAGAAGAGTAGCCATAAATTTTGATTTACATGGAAATAGAAAGAAATGTATGATCATTTCATTCAGAAGAGCCGTCTGCTAATCACAGTCTCGGCTGTTGTATTTTGTGATGGGAAATGAATGTGCTAATTGGTGCTTTTTTTCTTCTCCTTCTTGTTATTACAGGAAACCTGCCATATGAATATAAAATTGTGATTGCTGGGAATCATGAACTGACATTTGATAAGGAGTTCATGGCAGACCTCGTTAAACAGGACTACTACCGTTTCCCCTCTGTGTCCAAATTGAAACCAGAGGATTTTGACAATGTGCAGTCCCTCCTGACAAACAGTATTTACTTGCAAGATTCAGAGATAACCGTGAAGGGATTCAGGATATATGGTGCACCTTGGTAAGTGTTCGATCCAACAGGTCGGGAATCAAGAAACCATGTCTGGATCTTAGCTACTTTAAATGGAAAATGGCTAGGATGGAAGGGAAAGTTATTGCTTCAACAAAACACATCATCCGATACTGCCAGAAATCACAGTTATTTTCATCATCAAACAGACTTCTTTGGGTGACAAGAGTAAAAGTGAGGCTTTAGCAGAAACATATGTAATTATGTAACTGGGGCTCTATGTGTGTCTATGTAGCAGAGAAAGATTTGCGAAAGCCCACCCTGTTGCTCTTGACAGATTTAGCTACTCTGAACATTTCATGAGAGTGTTCTTCTTTCAGTCGTACTGGAAGCTGTCGTGAAATGCCTTCCATATATATAAAGGTTTCTCAAGTCTTTTTATGCATCAGTTCTGTAGAGATAGCTTTTGAAACCCTAGTCTCAAAGACCCCCTGATTCTCCTCATTTCAGGAAACAAAATGAACAACAACAACAAAAACTCTTTATTTTTAAAGGGTCTACAGGTGAGTACCAGGAGTCTAGAACTGTGCTCTGGAATGCATGCATCAGGCACAGGTCTAGGGGCCTAACAGGGGGACACTGGATCGTGGTTCTGCCGGTTTGCATCTCCAGTTTTTAAAGAAGTTGCTCCACATTGAACCTTCAATTTTCTACCTTTAAAATGGTGAAAACAAATAGTATCTTTTATCCAGCCATCAAAAGATTACGTAGGTGGCACTGTCCTATGGCTTTCGAAGTGAGCCTGGTGCTTGGCTTAGAATAACAGTTACCATTTTGCTGCTCTTGACTTTGTCACTGTGTTTTTGGGTAAACTTGGGCCAGTCACTCAGCCCAGAGCAATGTTCTCATCTCTAAAATGAGAATGTTGTACTGGAGTTATCTATATCAGACAATTCCAGGATTATCTATGTGTATTGAGCAGACCAACTAACTCCCAATCTGGGCTAGAAGAGCCCCAAGTCCTTTGCTACAAGCTGAGGACAGGGCTGCTAGAAGAGTGGCAGAGTCGACTCTGATCGCCTCTCCACTCAAAGGTTTGGTTTCTCTCTGAAAAAGAAAAATCCTTTATTTTCCCCCTTGCTAATCGGTATCCGTGTCTGATAGGGAGTATGGGAAGCACATTTTTGTTTGCACTTCAACCTGACAATGACTGTGGGTTCCTCTCTAACTGCCATAAGCTGGGCACTGTTCTACGTCCATTGTTAAATCGGTTGTTTAATTTAGTCTTCAATCTGCCTATAGGCTTTAGGTACCACTGTGATTCTTAGTTGGCAAAAAGCAAACTGAGGCACACAAGGTCAAATGACCGCTTAGCAAACAACAGGTAGTAAATGGTAGCCCTACTACTCTGCAAGCCTGATTACAGGGAATATAGTGTGGCTAAGGAGCTGAGTAGTGATGTATGGTAGTGCTGGTGGTAATGTGATAATTAGTGGTTATAATTTGCAGGTCCAGTTTAAATTTGGCTCTATTAAAATGCATCCATTTTTAAGCATGAGAAGATGGCAGAGGGTAATAGGATAAATGGCAGACATGAGTTCTGTTCAGCTGTGATCTGAACAATGGTCTCAGGGTGAAGCAGGGTCTTGACATCACAGGTTGTGGATATGGGGCAGGATATGAGCACTTCCCACTTCCCAGTCCAGTTCTTACTCAGTCTAATAGTTGAAGAATGACCTCTGATTGTCGAGAAACTTGACGTGTTGGCTAAATCATTTCTCCAAACTCGTCTTGTGTTTTTGAACGATCTTCAGAAGGCACAGGACACTGGGCTGTTTATGAACAATCAGTGCTTTCAAAGACCCCAGATTGCTAATTACTGAAACAATGACAGGGAAATTTAAAAAAAAAAAAAAAAAGAAAGAAAGAAAGAATCCTGCATGGTTTAAGCTGATCCAAATCTGTTTAGGATAGAACTTAACTAAACAAAACTACAGCTGTGATGAATGAGGGGATGATTAGGATCCCGTGGCAGACATTGAAGTATCCCAAGATGTGAAAACAAGATGGTAACTAAAATACCCGGTGTGATGGGGTAGTTGGTTCATGTGGCAGATGAAGTTTATATCAGAACTAGATTACTATCATGTAAGATATTTTTAATCATTAAAAAATTAATTCAGTATTTGAGAGGGTAGTTGAGGCATATGAGATCTCCAAAAATCTTGACCCCTTGTTCCTGATGAGTGTTTCTTTATGAGGAAGTGAATCTGTAGATGGGATTTGTCCTGTCCAGTGAAATGGTTGGTACTTTGGGTTTGTTTGTTTGTTTGTTTATCAAGAATGCAGATAGTGGACAGGAGGTTTCATCTCACCCTGTCCTCCTGAAACACCAGTTGTTTGAATGGCACTATGAAGGTGTTCTGTTGAAGGGCATATTCCTCCTGAACACTGACTTGGGGATTTCTGTCTGAGCATTTCTGTGCAGGGAGGACATTTCTAGCACATACTCCTGGGGACCTTGGATGAGTTCTTTTGTCTTTGCTTTGCTTGATTTTTTAACATCCCCATGCCTTGGTTTTCTCATCTGTAAGATGAGCATCACTTCCCTCAAATCGTGGTTTTCAACATAAACCTAATGTATCCACGGTGTAGTGAAATCTGCAAGCCTCTAGTTAGCATTTGAGATGTGTAGCTGTCACCATGAGCAGTGGGGTAACTGATGTTTCCTGACCACTTTACAAGAATCTCTGCACCAGGAGTCAGATGCCTTTATTCTTACCTAGGCTCAGTCTCTACTGCTTGGGTGATGCTAGATGTGTCATGTGACCTCTGGGTTTAGGATATGAAACAGAAGAAATGATGTCTCTTCTAGGCTGTTTCACAATTCAAACACATAAATGTTCACCAAACCTAGAATCTTTAAAGATAATACATTCTGGTAGACATGGTTATTTTAACAGCTTGCATAATTCTTAACCCCTTTTACTATTAATAATTTGGATAGAAGCAAAATTTGAGTGAAATTATTTCACAGCTAGTGCTTTTTTCATTTTAGGAGTTAAGGTTTTATCATTATTTTTGTATCCCTGAGATTACCCTGCAGGCAAAGGTCTCCTCAATAGCCCATAGATATTCCAAAATAATAGAAGCTAGTTAATTAGAGGAAATGTTAAATTCTGAATTGATGATACTGGTAGTGGCTTTTACTCAAAAGCAAAAATCTAAACAAGATTCTTTACCCCTGGGATTTCCATCCTGCCCTCCATGGGTTTCTCAAAAGCGGTTGCTATCAGGCCAAGGAAATTGCTCTAACTCTTGAATTTTAAATGTATAACATTGGAGTGGATAAAGTGGATCTTTAGAAGACATGCTTAATCTACACAAGGTCCCTGGCTTGCTTGCAGTATCACCTCCCCCATAAGATAAAATAAAATAAAGATTGTTATGTGGTTTAACTTCACAAAAGGAATATTCATCTGCCTTTGTGGTATGTTTATAAACTGTGTCACAACTGAAAGACTTCCTAAAGACTAGCGAGAATACTGCTGTTTCCTGATTTATAACTTCACAGGAATTTATATACCAAAAATAGGCTGGCAATGCACCTCAGCATTCCTGAAAGTTTGCAACTGTAATGTGCCATGCTATTTACTACATCTCCAATGAAGACGATGTCAGTGTGACTCTATGGGTCTAAGAAAATTTCCTGTCCCAAACAGCAGAAGTTGTAAATGGGATGCCAGTGTGGAAGGAGAGGGGCTCCTTGGAAGGATGGCAAGTGTGGATGAGTTTTGCTGGGAGCTTCTTGGCCTTGGGAAACTTGGCAGAAACACCATTTTCTGTGTCCTATCTACATTCCTTCACCACCTCCTTCCATGAATCTAAGGAAAAGCAATCAGGCATGCTTATTAGACACTTAGCCTACAGACTTTCTTAACTTCTGCCATCCTTTCCTCATGCCCCTTTTGGGAGACAGAAGAGGGGCTTGTGTTATCAGACAGCTGGAGCAGACTCCAGCTTTGAAAGCTCACAGGCTTCCCATGCTAGTGTTCATGCTTGGCCTCCAAGATGGCCCTCCATTTCCTCTTTCTAGCTACCCTCTGCAGCATCTTTATCAAAGGCAAAGAATAGTCAGAGGAGAAAAAAAATCTAATCTGTCAAATATTAGCCACGGTGGCAACTAATTGCTTATCTGTCCAGACCAAAGGGGACATAGGATTTTTGAAATCATCTTCATGTTTTTGGTTACTGAACCTGTAACCAGCCTTTGCATGCATGTGGGCTTCAATTTAACTCACACACCAGAGAGGCTGTGAAAACCAACTGGGTCTTCTTTTTCTGATCTCAATTGCTCTTTTGATAACAAGAGCCTGTGTCAAAGAAGAAACAAACCCACACTTACTAAGGGATCAGCAAATCCTACTGCAAAAAGTAGACAGAACCTAGCCCGAGACCCTGGTCCTAGCGCATTCACTTGGACTAGAGTGGTTGTCTTGTTCCATGCTAGCCTGCACCTTGCTCTTCTTGCACAGAACTGGTCTCCCTGATGTTTAATGAACATGAATGGGGCTTTCCTATGTCGAGGAATTTGATCTCTTGGCTCACCAAGGCATCAGTAACAAAGAGTTTGGTTTTTTCATGTTAGAATGAACACAAGTGTGATTTGTCAGATTTAATAATTGTAGAGGAAGTGCCTTAACTTCTACAATAGGAAAATTAAATCAGGCCCAGGCTTGGTAGTTCTACAATGGCCAAAAGAGGAAGAGAGAGTCCACTGCCCTTCCTTTTCAAAGCAAGCATAAGTAGGGATTCCCCCTCCCTCCTCTCTTCCCTTCACTTGGCATCATAAACATGTTGGGTTCATCCATTCATTTAGATGTAATTTCCCGAGCATTTCTCAAAGCCAGAGTTAAGTGTTGACTCCACTCTGTGGCATAGATAATTGTGTCTGCACAGATCGCTACAAGGTTGTTCATGTTGCCTTGTTCTGATCAGGGCAGCCATGCTTCGTGGTTACCCTGTCAGAAAAGCTTCAGATGTTTTCATTT